CTATAGTTTTGTGTTAATTCAAATGTTTTGTGCCATTAATGCTTCTTTAGTAAAGTATTTATTCCGAATATTTATTTAGAATTGCTTTCAATGTACCTAAAAGAAAAAACAAAACGAGGAAGAAATTCTTTTTATGTTTGAAGTTATTTGCTTTGAAACTAAGCACATAATAATTAAATCTTGTTTCCGCTAATCAAGCTTTTGTTATTTGCAAAATGCAATGACAAAGGAACATTATTGAATAAACTTGTTTGTAACTTGTTCATTAGAAGTTCCTTTTGCCTGTAGCTGCAAAGTTGATTATGATATCCTTTAATTTCCTTACTTGACAAGGTATTTTCTTTTCTCATTTTGCAGTCATATTGTCGAGAGGGAGAAGGAAGAAAGGCAAAGCACTGGGTGATGCATGAACAAACCTAATAATCTTCCTCCGCTGGTGGAGATTTTAATTAATCTGGTTTCTCCTGTTGTTTGTTAATTATTATACCACCTCCTCCTTTGCTTTCTCTATAATCTCTATTTATGGTTTTAAACTATTCTGCTATTACATGGTTTAAAGTAGTTCTTGCCACAAATTCAGTATTTGCTTTGTTGCTAAGTAATATGTAAATGGAGTATTAATAGTTTGTATTGGTTGGTGGATATGTAATTAATAGTTTGTATTGATTGATGGATATGTAAGAAACAATTGTTTGGAGCAACATTTTTCAACTTTCCATTTGAGGTCTTAGTTCACATGACTCTTGATGGGTTAGTGTATATACACATGGTTCATGGCTCATAAGACATTGACATGTAATTTTGCTATCTATTTGGAACAAAACAAAGGTAATTTCTATTAAATATAATTTTTTATTTATATTTAATGTATTATAATATAAAAATTTTATATATTATCAATAAACAAAAAATGACATTTTAAGATTAAATGATAATGTATGCAAATGTACATGAGCAGCGAGACGCGGATTTGTGTAAATATGGTAAGTGGTAAGTATTATATCATAGTCGTAAACTTTTGTTTCTTGACACTATAATTAGAAACATGTCTGAGTTATTGATGAAAAACTTAGTGAGGGTATAAATTGTTAGAAAAGCACCATGCTAGTAATATAAAGTGATAACAAACAAGAAAGTCTTCAAATTAAATTGATGGAAATGGAGGTTACTACGACAAAATAATGCAAATCAGGTGGCGAAGGCATGGCAGGCTTGCAGCAAAAAAGCACAACGAAATAATTGTGGGGGTCGTTGTAGGTTCTATAGATCATAATGCATTAGCATTATGAAGCGTGACTTTGAAGAGAGCTATTATCCATAAAAGAAATTGCAAGCAGGGCCGGTCTTTGGGTAAAGTCACCCAACCATGGGCTCTAGGCCTTCAATTTGGAGAGCTCTTATAATTTTATAATATAATTTATTATATTAAAAATATATAAAAATAAAAAATAATTAATAAAATTATTTATTTTTTTAATTTTTTTAATTATGTGTTTAATAAATTTTATTTTTTTTTTTATTTTTTAATTTTTAAAATATTATATTATTTTCAATCAACTAACGATTATATTTATTTAATCATCTTTAATAACTATTTTTTTTCTCACTTATTTCTCTTATTTCCTATCAACATATTTAATAATTTTTAACAACTATTTTTTCTCTTATATATAAAACTATTTTTTTAATGTATAATATCTATTTTTAAATTCTTTTTTTTCTCATTTGCTCTTTCTTCTTTTTTCTTTTAACTTTAATTTTCATTCAAATAATACACAAAAAATCTATTATATTATTATTTTTATAAAATCATAAACCTCATTTGCAGTTTGTAATAAACATTCAATAATTAAATATTATTGTTATAATATTTACAGATTTTTTTATTTTTATTTTTAAATTATAGTATATTATTATATTACTCTTATTTTATGTGATAGTTGATTTATTTAAATTAAAAAATTTTAATTATTGATTTTGTATTAATTATTTAAAAAATATAAAAATTTTACATTTTAAAAAATTAAAAAAATAAAAATTTAATAATTTTTTTAATTTTAATAAAAAAAATTCACATTGAATATTTCGCTTGAGGTCTTTGAACTATTGAGTTGGAAAGGACATCAGTGGTAAAGATCGGGCGGGCTCGTGCGACTTTTTATTCCATTTTGTTCGATATCGCGCGATCTTCCAACTTTCCCTCTGCTATAATCTAGTGCGTCGCGAGCATATCACCCCTGCTGTGCCCTGCTTGACTATTTTAGAACTCAATATTTTGTACCATATAGATATTATTTTCCCTTTTTGAAAAGCAGCGATGCTATACAAAAGAAACCATAGAAGGCTAAAGATGCAGATAAGCAGCATCGAAACAGACAATACAAGTTCAACAACACCCTCAGGTTGTAATGAGATTAAAAGAACAACAGTCAAGAACATCACCACAGCACAACCTAAGGAATCACCATCAAGTTATACTATACAAAGCAAAAATCTGTCATCCCCAGCAGACAGAGCCTTTGTCAAAGCCCAGGCCAAGCAAATCAAAGCAGAGAGAAGCTCACAGAAGAAGGAAAGAGAAGTCGAGTAGCATTCAGGTATCAGGAAAAGTTTCAATGATTTCCAGCGGCTCATTATCCAAAGCGATTCGAATAACGTAATTCTTTTGAGCCATCAATGGCTTTACAAGTTCTTCACGAATAAAACAAATTTTAAACCACACTGGCAAAACTATAAGGTTTTCCTTCAATGCATGTGTTAGATATTAATGCATCCATCCTCAATACAAATGTCTTTTTGTACTATTTTATTTTGCTTCGTGTACTGGTATTAATGTAAGCTAACTGTGCTGTCTTGGTGTCACATACGTGTTACCTTGCATGCATTATGGTAACCATATGCTTGACACTTGTTAATATTATGAACAAGTGTAATGAATGTGACAGCAGTATATCAAACATATGAATACAGATAGCCTTTTGGATATCACCGTTTTCGTCATTGCTCTTTCATCTCTGTTTTTTAAAACCTCAAAACAGAGACCTTCATGATTTTCTAAGCGAGTCCTTCATGCTGGTATCTATCAGCATGTACTCCGGAGAAAACCAACTCTTTTGCGGACAGACTAACTAAAGCTCGGGTTCTCTGAATTAAGGATTTCATTGCCATTTTATAATCCATATATGTTGGAATGTTTCCTTTTGGAAAAGCTGCCATTTTTTCTACGTTCTTCCCTCTGTTTTGCTTTGCCATGTTCTGATGAACTTGTTCAATCCTGTTAGTTACACCCCTTTGACCCCCTTATTTCTATGCCTGTTAAAGGTTCAATTATAGTTTGGTAAAAACAGTTATAAATCAGTATTAACTTCCTCTCATTCGGGGACAAAGATCGGTTTTCGTAGGCAATTGAAGCCGCCTTGAAAGAATCTATTATCTGTTTTTTTTTTAAAGACTTTAATTCTTTATTGACCAAATGAAGGCGACGAGAATTCAAGATTCGATAAGTAATTTAATTAACGAAGACCAAAAACCACAAGCACAAGGCTTTTCCAGAAAAAGCGGAAGTGAAGACAAGTTAACTGGCTGATGTTGGGAAGAGAATATTGGCTGAAGGAACTCCTACCCAGCACTCATTTGGCTGAGCTGAAGGAGATAGAGAGTAGAAACAATCGTTGGCGATTAGATGTGTGCATGGCTATCGCCATCCTGGCGTTGATGCCCTATGGATCTGGTCGGAAGCTTCAGATGATTGAAAGAGAGAGATGAGTTTGAACCTGTTAATGTTTGTTTTTTTTTTTCGAAAGGCAATTGTTCACTTCATTTCACATAAAAGTATACAAAAACTACCCAGCCGTAGTGTGACAGTCAGCACATGCAGGACATATTGTTCCCTGCCGTTGCATGACCTTGTTGAGAAGAGGAAAAACCAGAAATAGAATTGATTCGGTTGGCTAGGGGATCAAACTTCCTGCTGGAATATAAACAATTCCTGAGAAGACCTAAAAAAACCATCCCCAGGAGCATCCTAGCATCATCGCACTGCAACCCGATTTCACCTTCTGTACATTTCAGTAAAAATGGTCACCTGTGCCCTCTTATATCTTGTTAACCGAAAGCAGAATTAAAGCATCATCTTCGTACATCAATATAGAACTGCATGCACAGTGTCAAAGCATGTAGAAACTGATCGCAACATTCTATTTCCCATCTCACAACAGAGCCATTCCCGAGAGACATGCAAACAGAAATCAGTGCATGCCTCCGGGCGTTGCCTAATTAGTCTAACTACATTTGCAGCCCCCAGACTCAAAGCGGACGCAATGAAGCCAAAAAGGATTAATCCAAGTAAGCATAAACAACATAAGAACCTCATAAGCAACAAGAACCACAGCTATGTACTGTCCAGGATAGTGTTGTCCAAAGCTATCGGGTAGTGTTGTCCAAAGCCTTTATTCGTTGATCATCTTTGGTTTGGTTGTTGCATGCAGTTTCGCTTTTCACTCTTCTGGCTTCTCTGCTTGCGGCCTGGTTTTGCTACGGACGTTTTTGGCTGCTTTCTTCCTTCTTGCTGGCTACTTGGGTTGTTTCTTCTTGATATCTTTGGGTTCTGTTTTATGGCAGCGCTGCTTTTGTATAGGCTGCATTTTCCTTGTTTATGAGCAAAATGCTCTGTTTTGTGTAGCTTAGATAGTTTCTTTGGGTTCTTGCAATGCGACACTACTCTTGAGTAGCAGACTACTGTTTCAAAAAAAATATATATATGTATATACTGTCCAAGATAGGAAGAATCCACCTCTGGCCAGCACACTACAATTTCCCGTTATGTTAGTTTCCTTTCTTTTTTTTCTTTTATGTTCTTTATTTTTCTTGTTAATACATTCACGATGATTCGGTCCCAATGGTTGAAGCTTCTTAATGTTCGGCAGATAGAAGCTAAGCTCGTGCAACATTTTCGTTATTTTATTCAATGAATGTGAGAGTGACAAGTTAGGATAGAAGAGTTGTCGGTCAATGAATTCTTTTATATATATATTTATATATATAGAAAAGTATTTAGGCAGAAAAGGACATAAGCCGGTGACGATCGGTCGGGCTCGTTCGAGTTTTTGTTCATTTTGTTCGATGTCGTGCGATCTTCCAAATTTCCCGCTGTCGGAATATATAGTGCCTCACGAGCGCATCCATCATCCATGCCTTGCCTCGCTGCATTTCAAAACTAGCAGGAAATTAAAGCTTTATCTCTGTGGTTTGGTTATTTCTACTTTGTTACTGTTGCTTAATTTGTTTATAATGTCATTAGTAACTTTTAATATTATTTTAAAAAAACCTTTTAATATTAAATCTAAATATATATTGCTATTTTCTTTATAAACACTTCTTAAAATGTAAACTAGATTAATAAAAATAAATGAATAAAACTTAAGCATTCGACGGTTTGATTTAATTATCAATATACATATATATATATATATATTTGATGTTGCTTTGAAACTCCTCTCTTAATTAGTTTGTCTTAATTTTTCTTTGCAGTCACAAACCATGATTTCGAGTAAAGATAATATCTAAAACCATCAAATGGATGTAAGAAAGAGTTTTATATCTCTTTGTTACCTGTGTTGGGATAATGGTGGGGTTTTGTATAACTCAAGGGGCTCACCTCCAACCTTGACCTCCTCTCATAAATCAAATGTTCTCAGGTAAGCACGCATTTTGACAGCCTATATCCGGTATTTTCTTTTGAGAAAACAGGTAACGATGGTGTATTTATATGTTATATAATAGTAAAAATTATTTAATTATATTTAATATTTTTACCTAAAATAAATTTTACTTACACATCGAATGTTTAAACTTTTTTCACATGACACCTTGTGATTTTATTTTTTTATAATTTCAATCTGAAATTTTCTTCCAAGATCAAAATCAAATGGAGAAATGAAATGAGGAGGCATGAAGTGAAGATAGGTGACTCACGAGGTAAGTAACTTGAGTGATACTGCTTGTTATTTGATCTGGGATGAACTCTGCTGGATTACGAGTATAGTTGCTGTCTTCAAGTCCTCAAGTTCTGATTCAATTGCTTCAAATTGTTCTTTTTAACTTGTCTATGACCTTAATTCCCCTGATGTTCCTTGTGTTCATAGCTGATTTCCTCCATTACTGTCTTCATTCCAATCCTTCTCTGAATCACAAATATATGGTGACAAACAAAACACAATGTTTAATTTGAATTATTCAACGAAGGCTCTGTTGTTGGTGAACGAATTCTTTTGCATCAAAAAAATGTGTTGAGGCAGATAAGGACAAATGCCTTGCGAAATATCGGTCGGGCTCGTGCGAGTTGTTGTTCGTTTTTGATCGATGTCGTGCGATCTCTCTAGTGCCTGTCGAGTGCCTGCTTGACTTTTTCATCGAAAGCAGGACACCTAGTCAACAGATCAAGCGGAACACGTGAAAAGATAAAGTCGTTACAAACACATAAATGCAGCCCAGGGTAGTATTTCACCTATGGTCGTTCGATTCTGTTTGCTTTATCGACCGATATCGCACGACAACGCGAGAGGCGGTGCCTTTCCAATCACTCTTGTTCACACACCAAATCGGCCTTTGGGCAATTTGTTTTTATATACACACACACATGCATGCACGTTCGGAAGCAGGAGGAAACCAAAAACCAAAGGGGGAAACCAAAAACCAATTTATCTCAGGAAACAATGGCGCCATTGACTTTACGAGGCCGTATGCAGATGGCGGCGCTAAGGAAACAGCGTTTCAAATCGAAGGCTAAGCATGTAAGATTTAACTTGTATTTCGGTTTGTTACAATTGGCTCTGTGTTATTATTTTTAGTCGTAGCTAATAAGGAGAAGTTGTGATTCAGAGAAGGAATGGAATGAAGACGATGCGGGAAAGCTTCAAGAGGTTGAAGACGGAGATGGAGGAAATCAGCGAAGAACAGAAGAACATCAGGGAAGGGCAAAGACAAGTTAAAAAAAAATTCGAAGCGATTGAAACAGAGTGTGAGGAATTGAAGCGAGAAACTAGGCTCATAATCCAGCAGAGTGCCAGGACTCAGGTTAAACTGGCTCTAATGTTCCGCATTCTCAAAGCACGGGAAGCCGGAGACTTTAATATCGCTGCCCATTTCACTGAGATTCTCCGGTTAGTTTCTCAACGTTGGTTTGTACTTGCTTTCTTTTCATGGCTATTATTATGTAGGAGATGATTAGAAACATACTGGAATTCATGCTATTATTCAATTAACAGTAGATTAATGAACATACAGCCCTAAGGAGGTAGTGCCTTAAAGCACTTTATTACAACCATACTTCAAATCACAACAGTAATTCTAATACAAATAGCCATATCGCCTTATCCTATAGCATCTAAAACATAACCACATGATTCTGTAACCCCAATAGATACACAGCCTAAAGAACAAAGCTCTTAACAGTAGATAATGATTCTGCAACCCCAGTAAACTCATTAACTCAGCATACCAACAAGCCCCAATTAAACTGTTATTTAGCTTAAAGAACAGCCTCATAAACAAGAAATATACAAGCAGGCCATGAAGTTACTTTTTTTATTTTGGAAAGTATTAATCGTGAATAATGGACAAACCAAAAAAAATAAAAATTACAAGTTAATGGGTGAGCTATCCGAGCTCGCCCTTTTTGTTGTCCAATCAATGAAATTTGGGTTCAAAGACACAAAATCAATCTTCTGAACCACTTGCTACAAAGACTGTCATCGCATGCTCTCTGCAACCGAGATAAAATCATCTAATAATTAGTATCTAAGGTAGAATCCAAAACTAATTTTGGATTTCCAACTTATGCAAATACATTAATGAATATGATTTCTAATTAATCCTAATGCTACCAACTAATTAGGACTGCCTACTCTCCTAGACCAAACATGTACCATGAATTGGTGACTGAAGATGATGACAATAAGACAATCCTATTGGGCATTAATGGAGAATGAATCGGTGACAGTTAAGAGGGGCGAGCTCTACATCTAAAATGCTCGTTCCATGAATGAAAAATCCGGTGCTCATATCCTTGACTTCCATCTCTTGTTTATTCAAATCCGGTTATGCGAGGTGATCAGGCATGAAGCATCCTTCCTTTTGAATCAATAACTTGTACTCTGTTTATTCAAATGTCTCTTTTCCTCAACCTTTGCGTCCCTTTCAAAAGATCTTGATGATCTTGATTGTCTTGTAATCGAAACTATATCCCTCAAGACAGATTAACTTGATGGCTTCTTTTCAGTAGGTGTCTCAGAAGCCTGTGAAGGACCTGGCCCCGTTGCCACCACCCCAGTTGTTGTTGTTGTTGTTACTAGATGATTTGAAATAATAAAACCAACTAGCCAATTTAACTTATGCGTACTTCATCCTTTTTCAACTGAATAAGTAGTCTGGAATTCATATCATCTTTGCTGATTGTAAGGTTTTGTTTCCCGAAAGAACAGCTATATATTTAGAAAGTTGTTTGAGACATACATGATTCCATGGATTCACTTGGAAACATTTCTTAATGCAATGAATTGCCTGTTACTATCACCAGATTTGTTATCATGAATTTATGAAATGAATTTTCTGGGTGCAAGTGATGCTATCTTGAAGCTTGACGAACTTTCTTTTCTTATGCAGTGCGGTAGTTGGAAAGGAGAAAGAGGAAAGGGAAGCGGACAGTTGAATTGCAAGGATGAACTTCCTCGCCTCTGTTGCTTTAGTTTTAAGGAATAAGATTGTGTGTGATAATGTAGCGGCTGCTGTCTGTCAGCATAGCCTCTTGTTGTTAACGATCATGCTTTTAACAACTACTTTGTTTCATGTATGGTATTCCGTCAACTTTAGTTCAAATTATCAAATGTGTGCTTCTTGTTTGCTTAGTCCTTGTACAATACTCTCATTTCTTTTGTTATCAAACTAGCAAGTAGATCATGAGTTAAAATTAGTTTCAAGAGGTTGAAGACGGAGATGAAGGAAATCAGCGAAGAATAGAAGAACATCAGGGAAGGGCAAAGACAAAAGTAAAAAAAATTTTCGAAGCGATTGAATCAGAGTGTGAGGAATTAAAGCGAGAAACTAGGCTCATCATTCAGCAATGTCAGGCCTCAGGTTAAACTGGCTCTCATGTTTCGCATTCTCAAAGAACGGGAAGCTGACGACTTAAATATCGCTGCCCATTTCACTGAGATTCTCCGGTTAGTTTCTCAACGTTGGTTTGTACTTGCTTTCTTTTCATGGCTATTATTTTATGTAGGAGATGATTAGAAACATCCTGGAATTCGTGCTATTACTCAATTAACAGTAGATTAATGAACATACAGGCCTAAGGAGATAGTGCCTTAAAAGCACCTTATTACAACCATACTTCAAATCACAGCAGTATTTCTAATACAAATAGCCATATCACCTTATCCTATAGCATTTAAAACATAACCACATGATTCTGTAACCCCGATAGATACACAGCCTAAAGAACAAAACTCACAACAGTAGATAATGATTCTGCAACCCCAGTAAACTCATTAGCTCAGCATAACAAGAAGCCCCAATTAAACTGTTATTTAGCTTAAAGAACAGCCTCATAAACAAGAAATATACAAGCAGGCCATGAAGTTACTTTTTTTATTTTGGAAAGAATTAATCGTGAATAATGGACAAACCAAAAAAAATAAAAATTACAAGTTAATGGGTGAGCTATTCGAGCTCGCCCTTTTTGTTGACCAATCAATCAAATTTGGGTTCAAAGACACAAAATCAATCTTCTGAACCACTTGCTACAAAGACTGTCATCGAATGCTCCCTGCAATCGAGATAACATCATCAAATAAGTAGTGTCTAAGGTAGAATCCAAAGCCAATTTTGGGTTTCCAACTAATGCAAATACATTAATGAATATGATTTCTAATTAATTCTAATGTTACCAACTAATTAGGACTCCCTACTCTCCTAGACCAAACATGTATCATGAATTGGTGACTGAAGATGATAACAATAAGACAATCCTATTGGGCATTAATGGAGAATGAATCGGTGACAGTTAAGAGGGGCGAGCTCTGCATCTAAAATGCTCGTTCCATGAACGAAAAATCCGATGCTGATATCCTTGACTTCCATCTCTTATTATGCTAGGTGATCAGGCATGAAGCATCCTTCCTTTTGAATCAATAACTTGGCACTCTGTTTATTCAAATGTCTCGTTTCCTCAACCTTTGCGTCACTTTCAAAAGATCTTGATTGTCTTGTAAACGAAACTGTATCCCTCAAGATAGATTAACTTGATGGCTTCTTTTCAGTAGGTGTCCCAAAAGCCTGTGAGGGACTTGGCCCTGTTGCCACCACCCCAGTTGTTGTTGTTGTTTCTAGATGACTTGAAATAATAAAACCAACCAGCCAATTTAGCTCATGCGTACTTCATCCTTTTTCAACTGAATAAGTAGTCTGGAATTCATATCATCTTTGCTGATTATAAGGTTTTGTTTCTAGAAAGAATAGCTATATATTTAGAAAGTTGTTTGAGACATACATGATTCCATTGATTCACTTGGAAACATTTTTTAATGCAATGAATTACCTGTTACTATCACCAGATTTATTATCATGAATTCACGAAATTAATTTTCTAGGTGCAAGTGATGGTATCTTGAAGCTTGACGAACTTT